TCGAATAGAGAGGCTTTGCTTGGGAGTCAAATACGTAGGTCGAATCTACAAAAGCTCAAAAATAATTTTACGTAAAAGGAATATGGATGGAGGGAGTTTATCAAGTTGTCACGGCTAGCTGTGATGCGTTGTCTTCACGAAATCCCAAACGAGTAGATGCACATCACTTGTTCCGGGATAAGGTTATATATCTCGGAGTCAAATTGGCTTGCCAGCCATGCATGAAAAAGACATCACGATCAACCTTGATCCATACCTATCTATTTACTACATCTGTCACATAATTATATAAAAAAAATTATATTATATAACGGAGGTAGTATTTGTAAATATGTACTAGAATGTACACGACACACTACAAGAAAATCCCTGTGTTAATATGTAAGTGAATAAAACTGTCCATTTATCTAGATGGAGCCGACATAAGCACAGCCAATAGATTTGAGTCATAAGCAAGCAATTAAATCAACTTTCTTGCAGTCAAACCTTCTCATGTTGAAAGCAGCTTTGGTGACCTTGAACGTCGGTGAAAATGCAAGTTTTTCATCTGATTTGCCTTCCACGCGCGGCCGATGCTGGACAGCGGACCAGCTTACTGACAGAGACATGGATGCCACTCAACGTGTCCGTTGTGTGACTCGGGAGTCGGAGATGACAAACCACATCTTGCTTTCCTGTGCATATTTGTGGCATCTCTAGCGGCGGAAATTGCTGCTTGCCACCAGTCTTCAGGTTGCAGTCCCAACTAGCCAGTAAGTCTCGTAGAGTAGTGGCCAAATATAAGGGCATCTATGATGTGAGCCACTACTAAAGTGTTCTTATTAACTGAGAACACTAGTAGAGAAACTCAGTTCGCAATGAAAGATACCATCAAACCTTTGATAGGTTCCTCAAAATCTAAAGCAATCCGGTGAGGGTACTACAGCCCACAATAGGTGTTTTAGCCTAAAGTAGCCCCAGATGAAAAATCCCCAAATACCCCTCTTTTCTTCCGCCTCTCTTCTCGCTTCTTCTTTTCGCCCTCCTCATCGCCCATCTTGTCGCTGCCGACTCCCAGCCTGCCGCCGCCACCTCCCTCCTCTCTCCCCGTTGCCGCTCGCCTCTCTCTCTCATCGCCAGCGGCCACGAGGCAATGAGAAGGGCCGCCTCCCTCCATCTCTCTCGTCGCTGCTCCCTCCGCTGCCCTTCGGCTACCGCCCGTCTCTGCGCGCCGGCGGTGGTGGGCACGGCGCGCAGATCTAGTAGTCGCCGTCGCGGACCCATCGTCGCCGCCGGAGGTCGCGTGCCACGCCTCCACCCCTCTTCCTCTGCCGTCGCTGTCGCGGGGTCGTCGCCGGTCGTTGCCTACTCCCAATGACGAGGGTGAGGGGTGGAACGACAAAATGTGGGGCGGGAGCGGTGTTCATGGGACACTCACCTAGCCACGCCCTCTGCAATGCGTCTTCCGGCTCGGTGTCTCAGAAAAAAAGCTTGTGAGGAACGCGACCCCAGCGAGGAGGCGCGCGTCTGGCAGAGAAGACGGTCCGGCTGAAAAAGCTAACGGGAGGGGAACGGTCGTTCCCAGGGCTACGCCCCAGGGACACCCATTGCGGATGGTCTAAGAACATTCTACCCAAGGTGCGGAGACGTGTCTTTGACTTGCTCATCATCCTGGTGGCGTGGCATCTCTATAAGGGCACCCACAATGGTTATCTATAGCCTCTATACAAGAGATCCATGTCAGCATATTTTTCTACTTAGAAAAGATTAAATGAAGAGAGAGAGCAAAGCTATTTACTAACCTGGAGATAATCTATAGAGAAAAACGAGGCAATGCATTAGAGAGCTATAGATACTCATATAGACATACTATTGAGGTGGTTTACTATTAATCTAATCTATTGCTGAGATGTACATGTTTTATAAAAAGCACATTACTTTACTATTACGGGTGCTGGAACACTAGAGTGTTCGACGAAGTCTTGACCTCCGTGCTGACATTACTGCAGTCTGTCTTGCAAAGAAGGCCGCCTCTAGATAGATGTAGGGGTGCAGCAAGGGGACAGCAGCAGCTCGGCTTCCTGTTGGTCACCCTCGTCTCTTCGTGATTCAGCCTCTCTTCCCGACCCTTTGAGCTGGAGCCCGTTTGCTTAGTAGCGTCTTTTAAGCTTTACCGTAATCTTTTAAGCTGGAGTAGAACTTTTGGCCCTGCTTCTAGTAGATGGTCAGTTGTAACTTGTTTGTTTTCGTTTAATATATCGATGCGCGGGTCTGTTGTGTGTTCAAAAAAAACAACCTTCTTAAGTTGAATTGAACCAGACTATTCTGGTAAACGCTATAATTAATTAGTAGTGTTAAAGTGCAACTAAATTCACAAAAATGACTATGCGGATAAGATATATGTGGCCTTTGATCCAAGTTCTAAGCACAGCCACTATAATTAATTCGTTTTAGTCCGATCGACGACTGTTCAAAAAATAGATGACGAAGGTGAGTCGACTATAAATTTGAACGCCGCCGCTTTGACGTACAGAAGAAAAAAACGCTCCCGACGGCGTCAAGAGGAGGAACTGGTACACGCTGAGCAGGGATTAATTTCATCTGCACACGCCGCTACGTGACGGCAGTCACGGCACTGCCGCCTGACTTTAAGCTGAACCTACGGCTTGTATTCAGTCACAATCTCACCGGGAAATGCAACCGAACCATGAACCGCGCTCTGTTTTCTGCGCGAGAAACGCTTGAATGCTGCGCCCACAGAAAAAAGAAGGGGCCAAACAAAACAAACAAATAAGAGCAAAGATAATAATATAGCCCACTTCCTCCTATTAGCCCATCCTAAAATCAATACATATAAGGGCACCCACAATGATTATCTATAGGCTCTCTACAAGAGATCCATGTCAGCATATTTTCCTACTTGGAATGTATTAAATGAAGAGAGAGAGCAAAGCTATCTACTAACTTAGAGATAGTCTATAGAGAAAAACGAGACAATGCATGAGAGAGCTATAGATACCAATGTAGACATACTATTAAGGTGGTTTACTATTAATCGAGTCTATTGCTGAGATGTACATGTTTTATAGATAGCACCTTACTTTACCATTGCGGGTGCTATAATAGATTAGCTATAATTTTCTTCTTCTATCTCTATCTCTCACTTATGCATTTAATGTATTTGTCTTGGAGCTTGTGTTAAACTAGCTCTTGCATGAGAGCCAATACCCTTCTCTTTTGTTTACCTCTCTCCTCCATATAATCTTAAAGTAGGCTTATAACTCACTTCTAATGCGCCGCCCAGTACGCCCAATATCCAGCGAAGATAAGATTAGTCGTTCAATACGTACTGTATAGTACTCGTATTTGACTTGTTTCAGTAATCAGTATCAGTGCTACTCTACTTATATGTTTGACTTGGTTCATTGCTCAGCCATTAATATCAGTAGACAACGTACAATGCCCCAAGCGAGCTCAGGCCCTGTTTAGTTGGAAAAAAAATTAGTCTTACGTGTCACGTCGAATATACGGACACACACTTAAAATATTAAACATTATTTAATAACAAAACAAATTATAAATTTCGTTTGAAAACTGCGAGACGAATTTATTAAACCTAATTAATTTGTCACTAGCAAATGTTTACTGTAGCATTACATTGTCAAATCATGACGCAATTAGGCTTAAAAGATTCGTCTCGCACACAATTTGTGTAATTGTTTTTTTCTACATTTAACACTACATGTATGTGTCCAAACATTTAATGTGACAGTGTAAAAAGTTTTTACGTGGGAACTAAACAGGGCCTCAACTGGATGCATTGACGCCGCCTCGAGAGACTAGCTGGCTCCTCTAGAACAAAAGAAGAGAGAGAGAAGTGAAATGCTTTCTTATGGAGTCTATTATAGGCATGTTTAGTTTCCACCCTAAAATTTTACACTATGTCACATCGAACGTTTGAACTCCTACATAAAGTATTAAATATAGGCTAAAAAAATACTCCAACTAACAGATTGTGACTAATTTGCGAGACGAATCTTTTAAGCCTAATTGCTCTATAATTTGACAATGTGGTGCTCCAGTAAACATTTGCTAATGACATATTAATTAGACTTAATAAATTCGTCTCGCGGTTTACCGACGGATTCTGTAATTAGTTTTTTAATTAGTACCCGAACACTCTATGCGACATCCTATATAGTATATAATATCTGATGTGACACGCCAAAACTTTACACCATTTGATCTAAACAACCCCTATATAATAATCTAGGAATAGATTGGTTATTCAAATTCGTAATCGTTAATAAGATGTGTCTAATCCGATTTTACGTTGCTGATAGAATTAACAATATTTCTCCATTCAAACTGGATCTAAATTTTAAATTTCAATCGTGGTTAATAGAACAACAAGGAGACAATAAGAGGCTGACGGTGCCTACCAAAGCTCAGGTTATACTTTTATTTTTTATCTTTTGCAGGCTCGATGTGGAGGGAGACTGATGTGAGTGGGTGACAGAGATCGAACCACACGGATTCCGAACCACACACTGCGTCGCTCCCACTCTCGCACGCGGCAAAAAGAAAATAAAAAACAAACACCGCAACACGAGTACACAACTCGTGCTAGCATTGGCTGTCGCCGTAGCGTTGGAGTAAGGTGGTGTTTAGATCAGGGACTTAACTGTCTTTAGACACTAATTTAGAGTATTAAATATAGACTACTTACAAAACTAATTACATAAATAAAAGCTAATTCACGAGACAAATTTTTTAAGCCTAATTAATCTATAATTAGAGAATGCTTACTGTAGCATCACATAGGCTAATCATGGATTAATTAGGCTCATTAGATTCATCTCGCAAATTAGTCCAAGATTATGGATGGGTTTTATTAATAGTCTACGTTTAATATTTATAATTAATTTTCAAACATCCGATGTGATAGGGACTTAAAAGTTTTAGTCTCATCTAAACAGGGCCTTATACTACACCACCGCGATGACGTTACGCCCAGCCCCATCGCTGACGACCCATCCGGCCCCTCTCCCCCCGCCACCTGACTCGACTTCCTCTCCCCGCCTGACTACGCTTCTCCGCTGGCGCCGCGTCGCGCCTATTTATAGTAGTAATCCCCCCGTGGTGTGGTGCGTGCCAAGTTGTGTGTGTGTACCGCGGCATGGCGGACCAGCTCATCTCCACGGCAGACCACGACACGCTGCCGGGCAACTACGTGCGCCCCGAGGCGCAGCGCCCGCGCCTCGCCGACGTGCTCTCCGACGCCTCCATCCCCGTCGTCGACCTCGCCAACCCCGACCGCGCCAAGCTCGTCTCCCAGGTCGGCGCCGCCTGCCGCTCCCACGGCTTCTTCCAGGTATAATAAATCACTAGCACTACTACCTACGTTACTACATCGTCCATCTCGTATAAGCAGGTCTCACACATGTTGGATGTTGCTGTTGCATGCAATCGATCGATGGAGTTGATCAGGTGCTCAACCATGGGGTGCCAGTGGAGCTGACACTGTCGGTGCTGGCGGTGGCGCACGACTTCTTCCGGCTGCCGGCGGAGGAGAAGGCCAAGCTCTACTCCGACGACCCGGCCAAGAAGATCCGCCTCTCCACCAGCTTCAACGTCCGCAAGGAGACCGTGCACAACTGGCGCGACTACCTCCGCCTCCACTGCTACCCGCTTCACCGCTACCTCCCTGATTGGCCATCCAACCCCCCTTCCTTCAGGTTACTCCACTTTTCCTGCCTTCTCTACTACTCCTATTCCAAGTACTCCAAAGACCATTTCTTGCTCATCTCAAAAGACTCTGCAAGTCAGTCATCACTGCTCCATCTTCGCTTTGGTATTGAAAGAAACAACAGGACAGACGAATAGCTAGCTTGGACGGCTGGTGAAATTACTCCATGCAGGCCGTGTCTAGTTCTTTACACAATTTTTTTTAAGTATACAAAACAAATTACAAATTCCGCCTGTAAACTGTTAGATAAATTTATTAAGCCTAATTAATCTGTCATTAATAAATATTTAATGTAGCATCACATCGTCAAATCATAACGCAATTAGGCTCAAAAGATTCATCTCGTAATTTACATGCAAACTGTGCAATTGTTTTTTTCGTCCACATTTAATGCTCTATACATGTGTCCAGACATTTGATGTGATATTTTTGGCAAAAGAAAAATTAGAGATCTAAACACGCCCACAATTACAAGTGGTTACCTTTCCCATTCACAACTCACAACTCATGCACACAGATGTTAATTCCAAGTCCCCACATGTTTCAGCGTTGCTTTTTTTTTCCTTAGGGAAACGGAGTTTCTTAAAATAAAATGTTTAATCCTTGGAAACCAAAGTAAAACGTTGCCATTTTCAAGTTTGGTCCATACCCCACGGACAGAAAAGAACTATAGTACTTGACCAATCTTTTTCGCTCCTTGCGTGATACTGAACGATGTGTTTCGAGGTGGTTTGAAAATGCCAGGCTAACCACTCTGAACAGTTCTTGGGGAAAAAAAACCACTCTGAACCTGAACGACTCTAGCTGTGGGCTGTGGCTACCATGTGCCAGAGAGACAGGGCTCCATTCTAAACAAATTCCGGGACAAACAGACCTTTTGCTTTCATGAAAGATAACAAAGAGTTATCACAGATTCATTGTACCCTCCTCTTCAATGTTTAGTTTTTTTTGATGGAGGAAGTACTCCTATCCAATACTCCAACAAACCACGGCTCCACGTTTATCATGTTTCATTACTCATTAGCTTGCAGTAGAATGAACAAAATATTGTCTCCGTTTTCTTTTACTTATTGTTAGACATCGATAATCTTTAATGTACATATTTTATCACTACCTTTTCTAATTTTATTTTCATAAAAACTATTAAAAATAAGTACCATGACGGTGATCCTTACTAATTAGTATTCTAATATTGGCATTATCACCATAGGCTGTGTTTGTTTGGGGGTTGGGAACCTTTCTCCTGGCACGTAAAATGGAGGAACGGATTAGCACATAATTAATAAAGCATTAGCTAAAAACTTGATAAGTGGATTAATATGATTTTTAAAAGAACTTTTCTATATTAGATTTTTTTAAAAAAACGTATGGTTTAGCAGTTTAGAAAGCTTGCACATGAAAAATGAGGGAATGGAAGTTGAAAAGGTGTATTATAGAACACAGCCTTAGAATTGATTTTAACCATTGATTTATGAGTTCTATTATGAGTAGAAACAATTATTATACTACTGTCACGCCCCGAACTAGTCCCGACCGGAACTAGCCCGTGACGCTCCAAATTAACCTGTTAATCGATACCAGTCCCAGGAAACAGTGCTGGTATCACAGGAAGACAGAATATCACAGCAACAAAGGTCTCTTTATTATAGAGTAGAGGTACAGTCATGTTGGGCTGCGGACAGATCCCAAGCTCACAACTGCATTGCAAAAAGGGAAACGGAAGCCAAGACTTGGACCAAACAACACAGGCGCGACTTGGGAATTAGGCCGAAACCCTAAAACTCATCGTAGCCGGTTTGCTCCTGGAAGAACTCCTCGTCAGCGGGATCCGCTTCATCTTCTTCAGCAACTGGGGGGGATTATTTATATAGAGCAAGGGTGAGTACGGGAGTACTCAGCAAGCCATGGGAAATAAGTGTTTAATGCAGGCTTCAAGGAAAGGCTGTTGTTTTTGCAATTGATTTTATTTGAACTCTTTTCTGAAAACAACTAAGTGAGTGCTTCTCAAACGACACGGATGAGACAGTGCGTCTCGTCCGGTCGGAGTATGTGCAATGTATCAGTCTTTAGAATTGTTCAAGATTGGCACCTGGCCATCAACTTTCAAACGGCCACCCGGGCCAACAACTTTCAAACGGCCACCCGGGCCTAGCTGATCCCATCAGCTGCAGATTTTCCAAACATCGATTCCCCTTTTCACAACAGCAATTTCACAAGGCAGTAGTCAAACAAAACTACGCTAGGAATCACCTCACATCCGCCCATGACCATGGGCACGGCTGTTCGAACAGTTTGTTAACCTCTGCAGAGGGGGTACACTTTACCCACACGACATTACTAACCCGGATCACCCAACCCGTGGGGATCAGCCACGTCGGGAGATCTCCAAGCTTTCATGACAAGGCATTTCCAAAGCCGACACAGGTTTACCATATGCCGACGAGAGGGGTCCCAGACCAACAACAGGTTAGGTCCCAGACCATACTGTGCCAGGAAGCCCAGGGGTCCTCCCCGACACCACCCCGGCGAATCCACATGTCTCTCGGCATCAAGGCTCCCCTGATAAACTAGTTACTCAGCCAGGGGTGTCCCATTCCACCCATGTGGTCGTACTTGTCTTATGTTCGGATGAAATTCCAAGGAAACGGTCCTTAAGTGCAAGAGCGGGAAACCGTACACCCGGTACGTTCCCCGGTCCGTGGTTTTGGAAATTCATTTAGTTCGCAAGCACCGACCCAGGTGTCGGGTTTTCCAAGTCTTTTGTAAAACCCAAGTTTTACCCAAGAAGTTACTCAGATTTTAAGTTTGAAGGCGACCGTCGATACTCGCATAGAGTGCACGAATATCGAGGCGCAACTAGATGGTTACAAGGGAACATGGTATAACAATTAACAAAGGAAGGATCAGATGCAACAAATTAGGTAGGTTCGCCAATCTGCCTTGCAGACGGGACAAGCAAATTAAGTGCGATCCTATCAATGCATAATATTTTTTTCAAGCAACATAATTAAGTTCAGATATAGGCTCAAGATGTTCAAAGGTGGCTTGCCTTGCTCGAGATCTTGAGCTTGATCCTCGAAATCCTCGCACTGCGGGTCTTCGGGCTCCGAAACTACACGCAAAACGGGACAACTCAACAAACGGCGAAAATAAAGCCCTATTAATGACCTCTAAGCGTGCCATTAGATAGATCTCGAGATTTGAGGAATTTTGGAAGTTGAACGGAGTCAAACGGATTTACGGTTGGGAAGATATTGAATTTCTAAGATTATTGGATTTTTGGTCTAAAGGAAAAAGGATTTATTTAAATCCTTTTTGAAAAAGAAAAGGAAGAGGGAGGGGAAGTAGACTTCCCTCGGGCGGCTAGGGCGCGGCCCGAGAGAAAAGGGGCGGCTCGGCCGAGCTAAATGGGCCGGCCGGCCCAAGAAGGCGGCCCAAAGCGCGCGCGCGGGCGGGGAGGGGAGAGAGAGCCGGTGGGCCGGGTCCATCCCGCGTGGTCCCGGGTGGGACCCGCTTGTCGGTGACACGGTTCACCGTGCGGAACGCGCACGCGGCGCGCGCTAGGGTTTGGGGGAGGGACGCGGTGCACGCGCGCGGTTCGCGGAAGATGCGGTGCGGCGGGCCCACGCGCAGCCTCACGGCTCACCGCGGACCATGCGCACGGGGGGGGAACGGAGGGAGCGGCTGGCCGGGTCAGCCGATCCGGTCGCGGCCGAGGTGGCGCCGACATGGCGCCTAAGTGGCAGCCACGCGGGCCGGCGGGAGGTAGACGACGACGCCGGCCGGAACGGACGGCGGACGACAGCGGCGGGCGGCGGAGCGAACCACGGCGATACAGGCGAAAGCGAGCACACCGGGTGGTTGCACGAGACGAGGGGAGACGAGCCAACGGCTTGGATTCGCCGGAGGGAGTGCGTCGGCGGCGGATTGCGGCGGCGGCAACCGGCGGGGAGGGAAGAGGGAAACGGCGACGAGGTCACGAGGGGCCGATTCCCGGCGGCGAGAGCATCTACGCGGCTACGGGAATCCGTCCCTTGCGCCGGATTAGGAGGAACGCATCGAGGGAGGCCGGCGACGAGAGGCGCTTCCGAGCTCGGGCGGCGACGGCGGCGAGCACACGGCGAGCGACGGCAGCAGTCGGGGCGGCGCCAGCTAGCTACGGGGAGGCTACTCGTGCTACTACCCGAGTCTAAGGGAAGGGGATGGAACGAGGAGGGAGAATAGGGAGATGCGCTACCGTGCGGGACGGGGCGCAGTGACGATGGGCCGACGGCACGGGAGTGATCTCTCCGGCCTCGGGCCGGGGAAGAGGAAGAAGAGGGCGCGCCCGGAGTCCCCTTCCGCGTCCTCGCTCGTGCCGGCTCCTCCGACACGCGCGACGACAAACGGCGACGGCGAACAGAGCACGGGAGGCGGCGACAATGGAGTGGAGGCGATGGGACAACGAGAGGAGAAGAGAGGGAGGGCGCCTGGGCTTTATAGGATGGCAATGACGGTTTGGGAGAGGGGAACCGACTTTGGACGGTCAAGCCAGCGAGCTGGCGCTCCGGCTAGCGGCCAAATCGGCGACAGGGCGGAGGGAGGATGACGCCGGCGGGAGGAAAAAAGGGAAAAGGAGGGAGAGAAAGGGGGCTTGCCCCTTGCCTCTTTGGGAAAAGGAGGAGGGAGCGGGGGCGACGCGGCAGAGGGAGGAGGGGCTCTGCCTCCGTCCCTTGGAAGCTAGCGCGCGGAGTGGCGGGGTCGGGTTGATGACGACGGCGATGACGGCGGGGCGGTTTGGAGCGGAGCGGCGACACGGACGGCAGGCGCGGACAGGCGCGGCAGAGGCTGACGGCAGCGGCGACCAGGCGGTCGGCCACCACGGCACGCGCGCGCGGGAAGCAACGGGCGGCGCGGCGATTTGAGCGGCGCGGCTCGGGCACGCGTGCTGACTCGCGGCGCAGACGGCGCAGGCGCGGCACGGGCGGCGACCGCACGGGCGCGTGCATGCGAACAACGGCGCGCGGGAAGCAGCAGCGAGGGAGCGGAGAGGGAGGGCTCGGCTCGGCGCGGCTCATGCGCACGCGCGCGCGGCGCGCGGGCAGAGCGGAGAAGAGGGAGGGAGAGAGAGAGAGCGAGAGAGAGAGATAGCCGGGGAGGGAGGGGAAGATGGGCCGAGAGAGATTCGGCCCATCGAACCCGAGGGAGGAAAAATAAACTTTTGCGGAGGGATCGATTTGGGAAGGTTTGGATTCGGGATTGAACTCGACGATAGATCGGGGATTTGAGATCTGAGATGGCACGGACACTAGGCAACAAGCAAAGAAACAGATTTCGCAAATAGAGTTTTTAAGAGATAGTTTTCCCGCTAGGCGCCACGACGGAACGGGCGCTACAACTACTAGTAGTTGGTTGGTAGTAGAAATAGATATGATCTATTGGATTAGAATAAGATATACGATTTAGATTGGTTCTACTATCGGTAAAAAGGATTAAAAATATAATTATATAAAAGAGATTTCCATGCCAAATCTACCAACACCATTTTCTCATGTTAAATTTTAGTATTTTTGCATGAATTAATCATTTAAGATTCAAGGTTTGACTGCACGCATTCTATAATGCTATTTATTTGAGTTAGTGCAATAATTGAAGTAGCGGGCTTCAAAAATTGCCACATCAAATTTGTGATTAGGTGGAGAGATGATAGAAGATGAGAATAATAGCGGTGTTATAGATTTGTAGCCAGCTATAGCATGAGTTATAAGACATCGTGTGTAGTAAATATTTATGTGTAACTATTATATAGATAGACTATTAGATTAGCTGTAGATGATGTGCCAATTTTTGAAGCTAATAATAGATGGCTATACTATTATACTTGCTATTTGAGATCGGAGGTAGTAAACAACTACTTTCTCAGTTTTAAATTATGAGCATCTCTAGGTTTCTTAGTGGAGATTAAAGTTGAGAAGAAGAGACTCTGGCATTAAAAATATAATTATATGAAAGTGATTTTCATGGCAAATAAGATTTATGGGTAGGTTAAGCAGAGATGAGAAGAGAGGAGATAGAGAAGAAAAGTGTGTTACATATGTGTAGCTAACAGTAGCACGGGCTATAAGACGGTGTGTGTAGTATATATTTGTGTGTAAGTATTGTATGGATAGAGTATTAGATTAGCTGTAGATGATGTGCCACTTTTTGAAACTAATAATTGGCTATATTATTACACTTGTTGTTTGATATTGGAGACAGTAGACAATTGTTCTCTCCATTTTAAAATATAAGGATTTCTAGATTGTATAGCAAAGATTAAAGTTGAGGAGGAAACACTTTGGTGCCCCTTGTGTAACAAGAAACAACTTGAGGCAGGAGGTAGTTAGAGCCTCTTAGAGGTAAGATGAGATTTAAAATAAATTATTGATGGGATAAGTAGTATTACAAATCATTTTTATATATTGTAACAACATGAACTAGTGAGGTTGACCTGTCATGCTAGCAATGCCTTTTATGTCTCTGCACTCATATACTGTAAGAGGCAATTTTAGCACAGACATCGATCGAGGAAACAGAAAGAAGGTTGGAGCTACTAGTAAGACAATGCAATGAGAACCACATTTTTCCCCTACTGAAAAAGTCGCATCGCATCAGTCATGTACACAATCACATGAAGATCCCAACATCAGAAACGATGAAGTGGTCACGTGCATCCATGCCTAGTGCTGGGATCATTTCACCTGCTAAGAATCCACTAGTGTCGGTTTCGTAGGACCTCCCTTCTCATCAGTGCTTGGATGGGGATTTCAATGGGAGCTCATTGGAGCTCGTTGGTGTGATGGTGGATGACTTTATTTCAAATCCTGATATACATAAATATGGTTGTGCACTTGTGCGCATTCTTCGCTCAGGCCGAAAGTTATCCTTTGTTTATCCAAAAACAAGGTCGAACTTAGGACCAGTAGGACAAAAGATCAAGGGAATTAATCACGCATTATCTCCTAAGTTAATCCTTATATTATTAACCATAAGATGAATTTACTTTGACGATGGTGCAGGGAGATCATAAGCACATACTGCAAAGAAGTTCGGGAGCTCGGATTCAGACTGTACGGAGCGATATCCGAGAGCCTGGGCTTGGAACAGGACTACATCAAGAAGGTTCTTGGTGAGCAGGAGCAGCATATGGCGGTGAACTTCTACCCCAAGTGCCCGGAGCCAGAGCTGACGTTCGGACTGCCGGCGCACACCGACCCGAACGCCCTCACCATCCTCCTCATGGACCAGCAGGTGGCCGGCCTGCAAGTTCTCAAGGAAGGCAGGTGGATCGCCGTGAATCCACAGCCCAACGCGCTGGTGATCAACATTGGTGATCAGCTACAGGTGATGCATATATCAGTTTCTTTTATCAGAGTATATAATGGACTAGGTTAGGTGTTCAGATAACATTGCTGAAAATCTTAGTGCTTGTTTAGTTCTCAACTTTTTCTTCAAACTTCCAACTTTTCCATCACATCAAAACTTTCATACACACATAAACTTTTAACTTTTTTTCTTCAAACTTCCAATTTTAGTCAAATTTCTAATTTTAGCGTGGAACTAAACACAGCCTTAACCATGGCAATTGAAGCTGTTGTGTGTTCAGGTATAGCTTGTTGGTAAACGATCAGGCTAGGTGGCAGACAATGCTAGTGCGGCAGAATATAGTTGGGTCACCTAGGACAAACACTTCTTGTTGCAGAAAAAAAAAAGACGAGCTGTTGACCAACATTATAATAACTGTGATAATAGAAAAAGACCAATAAGGACCCCTTTTTGATTTGCAGGACAGGAAAAACACAAGAATAGAAAAACCGCAAGAATTAGGGTAGTAACACTTCTCAAATCTTACATGAATATAAAAAACACAGGAAAAACAATATGAGTCTTTTGATAGTGTTATGGGAAAAACAAAAGAAAATTACTTCATTGCTATTTTTCCTAAGAAATATGAAACAAGTAATACAATCTTATAGAAAGTTTCCTTTCTTTTCTATAATCAAAGGGACATGTAGGAAAAAATTCATAGGAATTTAAATTATATGAAAATACTTGGCCAGATTCTATCATTTTTATGAATCGAAGAGGCCCTAAACAGCCAGATATAATGGATTGAGTATAGTACTAAAAGATATCGATACCGTGATACGTCGCACACAGAGATTTTTCTCTAGGAGTAGATAAATGAAGATTCTTCTATCGGATGCCAATTGCCATGGTTTATACTTTGCAAAGAGTAGTTAAATATTTGCAGGAAATCTGAACTGCAAAGCACTGAACTGTATTTTTTTTATTCAGTAAATATTTTCCAAGTGTTGGTTCTGCTCTGCAGCAGAATTTGTAACCTCTGTAACTTCCATATATTGCAGGCGCTAAGCAACGGAAGATACAAGAGCGTGTGGCACCGTGCTGTCGTCAACTCTGACAAAGCGAGGATGTCCGTCGCATCGTTCCTGTGCCCCTGCAACGACGTGCTCATCGGCCCAGCTCAGAAGCTCATCACCGATGGCTCCCCGGCCGTCTACCGGAACTACACCTACGACGAGTACTACAAGAAGTTCTGGAGCAGAAACCTCGACCAAGAACACTGCTTGGAGCTCTTCAGAACAACACCTACAGACACATCTTGAATTCTTGATCTAGTCGAGAACTGGTTTGTAGTACTCGGTTGTAGGTGTAGGTGGTGTTTGGGAGAGGGGGTGGTGTTTGGGAGAGAGCCCGACTTATTGTTTTGTGAGAGGATCTCCCAAACACCCCCGTAGTTTCTCGGTTGAAGTTGTTTGTAGTACTCGGTTGTAGGTGTACTGGAACGAGCCGTTGGAATGAGTAATCAATCAAATCAATCGGTGCAACGCAATTGTACTACTGGAGTTCCGTCGTTTTGCTTATTCGGAAAATAAACCAAACGGTATATTTTTAAATGAAAAATAATTTATGAATAAATTTTCATATATTCGGGATATAAACCAAATGACATATTTTCAAACAAAAACAATTTATGAATAAAGTTTTGATATACATGTTCTTAACAATCTAAAAACAAAGACTAGAAAATAAACTTCGATGAAAAAAAACCTCAAAATCAACTTTAAATTTAAAGTTAAAAATTCAAATTTTAGTTGATAAAGATAAGCATAAAAAAAAAGATGGAGCCATCCAGTGTTTACATATATAAGTTCGTATATAACCACTCAATCGACTTGTCTCTATTATTATAAAAATTGAAGATGTTTTTATCGATATTTTGGTACGTCATCCGTGTATGAGTCGGTTATTAAGTTTGTTCGGTTTTGAAAATACATAAATGTATTTCAATCGGTTTTAAATTCGTTCGCTTTTGGAAATACAGGAGGAGTTGTATAAGAAATATTTTTTTAAAAAAAACTTACATATTAACTTGAGATGATCGGAATCACAATTGCAGATCATGATTTTATTCTCAAAGTGAATTTCACCTTAACTAAACCATACAACAATAATAAAATTAAAATAGCTTTCACCCGTTGTAACGCACGGGTATTTTTTTAAGTAACAATATAAAACCGGGAGGATAAGGAAAAGGGGACAAATACACGTAAACAAATTGACATGAGTCGACGCCTCCGACGTGGTGGAGAGTTGAGCGGCCGGCAGTTGAATGTTTGAACGGAGACGCACGGCAGCCGGGCCGCATGGGCCATATGAATAGGCCGTTTTGAACGTAGGCCCAGGAAGACTTTCACGTGTCCGGCCCGAAAAACAGGCACACCCGGACGAGGAAAGCGTATTTTCGTAATTTACGCTACTGTCAAAGGAAAACGTATTAAGGTTTTCTGTTACCAGCTCAAGGGAGGAAAGGATTAGTAGATAGGGAAGGAAGAGCAGAGAGAGCAAAGCTCCCGCCGTTCATCTCCTCGTCTCGCCCCGCTCCAAGCGCGCCGCCATGGCCACCACCTCCTTGTCCCTGCATGGCGTCCCATCCCCCACCGCCACCAAGCTCTCCTCCTCCTTTCTCGGCGCCCCCGCCTCCTTCCTCCGGCCGACGCCGCCGCCGCTCGCTGCCCCCTCGCGGAGGGCGCTCGCCGTCAGGGCCATGGCGCCACCCAAGCCCGGGGGCAAGCCCAAGAAAGGTTCGTGTCTCGCTCTGCAGCATCCATGGATTTGCTTGCGCTCGCGTTGGCTGAATCGCGGCGTGCGTTCTTTGTTTGTTGTGCAGTGGTGGGCCTCATAAAGCTGGCGCTGGAGGCCGGGAAGGCCACGCCGGCGCCGCCGGTCGGCCCCGCGCTTGGTGCCAAGGGTGTGAACATCATGTCCTTCTGCAAGGAGTACAATGCCAAGACGGCCGAGAAGGCCGGCTACATCATCCCTGTCGAGATCACCGTGTTCGATGTGAGCTTAAAATCGTCAATTCCACTGAATGTGTGTGAACATGCATCTCTAATGTGGGTACTCCTAATTATATGTGTGTTTGCCTGGTTTTTTGCAGGATAAAAGTTTCACCTTTATCTTGAAGACCCCTCCTGCCTCAGTCCTTCTCCTCAAGGCAGCAGGTGTGCACCCTTTTAGCTAGCATGAATCTATAATTTTGTTTCGTCCATGTATTGAATTTGCGATATGTTTATACGGTTGGACAAAATAAAATGAAAACACTTCTGCTAGGTCAATGTTTTTGCTTTTGTATTCCATGTGGCCCAATGCTATAAGAATATTATGTTCTTCTGGAGTATTATGCAGAAGAATGGATTGAAAGTTCCATGTCACAAGTTAGATATGGTTATCCGAAAAGTTTGACTAATCTATAGGGTGAACTGCACAGGTTGCCAGTTTGCCATGACATATACATTAGACTTAGATGTTTGCTATAACATTAGTACCAATGTTGCACTTATGTGAAATGAAGTGCATATGAGACGTAAAAAAGTTTTCTCTGAAAAGCTAATCACTAGTACATTATTTATTCACTTTACTTCCTTGTTCAGCCAATTGAAAGATAATGCAACATGTGGGCTTCGCCCATTTTGATTCTGATGTGCATTTTCCATATTTTAGTTCTTCATTTCCATAGGACAGCGAGAACAAGGTAAAAAAATAGCAAATGACTACTGCTTTTCACTCTTGCATATTTCTAGTTTGTGTTTGGTATATGATCAGTAGCGCTAGATGGTATCTATTGGATTGTTGATCAATTAAAATAAGTTAACCAATAAGTTTTTAGATGTTATTAAGCACACATATTTATGCAACTTGCTCTGCTTACGATTATATGTATTTTTACTCTGGTTTGTCATTTCCCTTGTTTCATGAATATGGTGAGGAAGTTTGTAATATGAATACATCAGAGAGATGAATAAGTTGTATGGACTCGTTAGTCACAAAATATCTGTGCTGTTTGCGAGTTCAAGCATGTCTGCAGACTAAAAGCAAGGATGAACGCATTGCACACGACTGCGTACAATCGCTTACAAACAACCGACCTTGTTACATCTATGATTATCCTTTCTATTGTTCATGTAGCTCTTTTGTGAGCTTTGGATACTTAAGCAAATGATTTCTCACCTCCAATCCTTATTCTTAGGTATCGAGAAAGGTTCAAAAGAACCGCAGCGAGAGAAGGTTGGAAAAGTAACAGCAGATCAAGTACGTACAATAGCTCAAGAGAAGTTGCCAGATTTGAACTGCAAGAGCATTGACTCGGCCATGAGAATTATAGCGGGCACTGCTGCTAATATGGGAATCGAGGTTGACCCTCCAATACTTGAGAAGAAGGAAAAGGTGCTCTTGTAGTCTGTTTCTCTGGCACCCATGAATCACCTTACTGATGGCCACCTGTAGATTTTACTTCCTTTTTGTTCGTCAATATGTTGTTCCTAGTGCTTGAATCTTTTTCCCTCCGTGGTCAGTTTGAGAGCAAACAGACCATCTACTTTTCACAAGCTGTAATCATTTACATCCAAACTGTAGATGGTTTTCATGCTGCACCTATTTGGTGGAGTTTCCACATTTTTTCTTGTGAAGTCCCTATGATACACCACATGTGCACATAGCTCAGCTTGTCAAACCTGAGTAAGATCTTACTGTTCCTGTTGCCCAATTGCATGCCTGTTGTTTGTTTCAGATGCAAACCATTTCTGAACATTCTGCGTTAACTATTCACTGCTAGACTTTTTAAGTTTTGATATACATATCATTGGAAAACATTTCTAAATTGTAACTGTGAACTTCATGTGTATCTTGTACGCAGTGTAGTGGATGCGCTAAATGCCTGAATAGCTGAATTGTGATAATTATTCATTGGTACAAATGAATTAATTAACTATTATAAAGTTGAAAAATGAATTTAAATCATTTGGAATTCATATATTGTATTTTTTTTAAAAAAAAAAGAAGATCAAGAAGTATACGCGTTCACCATCATTCCATTTAAGCATAAAAGAACAGGGAGGTTCTGAAACTGAAAAGGCTCAGTTCACCAGTACATGAAGAGGCAGATATGCAGAGACGGAGTGACAAGATGGGCTCCTGGCCCAGCCCAGTTGCTTGTTCTAAAATCTTGATACCACTGTAGTAACTGGATTAGAGTTGTGCTGCTGCTTCGTAGGAGGTAGGAGCGGTGCATGTCCATGCAAGATTGCAAGCAAAAAAACAAGAGGATGCAACAACGTGTGGACAATTCCGTACCACGGCAATAGCAATGAGAGCAGACAGCGTACTGCGCACAAATTACTCACATGATGCTGCATGCGTCTTGCGTCGTCGTCGCAGTCGCAGACGCTCCCTGATTGCCGCTGATTCGAGCGGCCAACGCAGGCAAAACTGCACAAATTACTCACATGATGCTTGGTCGCAGCATTGGTGTGTTGGTGGCTGCATGGTAAGAGCAAGTACAATAGCAGGCTATAAGCTAGCTACAAACATATTTTAAAAAAATAAATAGGAAGAGAGGAGAGCAGTAGGCTACAGATTTGTAGCCAGCTAAAGCACGGACTCCAAGACGCATAGTGTGTATGACAGGTGAGACTAGGTGACACAGAGTGTGTATGACAGGTGGGACCATGTATTAATATTGTAGTATGTAGCTATTGTATGAATGAGCTATTAGATTAGCTATAGATGAATTGGAGCCAGTAGTTGGCTATACTATTAGACTTGCTCTAATCGCGCCAGCCAGCCAGCTAAGGGCAGGTACAATAGCAGGCTTTAAGCCAGCTATAAACATATTTTAAGGAGATAAATAAGGAGAGAGAAGAGCAACGGACTATAGATTTGTAGCCAGCTATAGCACGGACTCTAAGACACAGTGTGCGTATGACAGGTGGGACCATATATTAATAGTGTAGTATATAACTATTGTATGAATGAGCTATTAGATTGGCTATAAGCGAGAGCCTGACGAGCGCGGGCGATGTATCGATCACCTTTTCGCTTTTCAGCAGCCGGCACAAAATCGGCGATACTGGTCCAGTATAATGCCGCAGCAGCAGCTTGCAGCGGGGAGTCGATGCATGCATGGTCGAGCGACTGGAGCGTGCCCAGCGGTGGCAGCGAGATGCGCTGCGATCGACATGGTCTGCGACTGCATGCGAGAGAGAAGGAGAGCAAGGACGAAGGCGGAGGGGAGGCGGGCATATTGGTGAAGAAGTTGGTGGCCGGCCGGCGTCGGCGAGCGAGTGACGGATCGACTGTTGCACCGGCCCTGGTTGGCACTAATAGCCGACGCGATGCCATGGGATACTACTGCTATTGCGTACGCCCTGTCTCTCTCTGATGCTCTCCTGTACTTTGCTCCCTCGTCTTGCGCACACGGCCCGCCTGAACTACGATTGCCACTGCATGCGTCTCTCTCGGGCCGTGTCCGTAGGTTCGGCGTGGAGACTTCGGTTGGGTTTGGGTGATTGTACCGCGCGCGCGTGCGCCACCAAGGCGGCACGCCGAAGAATGATGATGATTTCGGGAGGGGAGGGGAGCTAGCTAGACGAGACGGCCATGGCAGAATATCCTCCGGTAGTCCGGTGCGAGCATTTTTACCACTGGGCGCGAGCAGCAGAAACCGAATCGGGGCAAAAGCTTCCGCAATGATGGCATCGCCGTTGACCACCACCCAGGCCCTGGCCCTGCGCTGCCACGTACAGTACTCCACCTAGCTAGTACTCCTAGTGACTACAGCACCAGATGAGGCAAAGCCTGCCACTCCTAAAGAGAAACACAACTACAGCCAGGGCACCAGCCAGGCAGAAAGTTTTGCATGCAAGGAATCCAGGATTACAACAGTAGAGTACTCTACTTCCTACTGTATGTGTAGGAGTATTTACAGAGCGTACAAGGATAGGATCGCCTGTCGAGAACATCTCGTCGCGTCGCTCATGCAATGCAAGCAAGCTCAAGGCGAGAAAGGTGCAAATGAACAACAGGTCGGTCCGTGTGGTTGCTTTTGCTTAGCTTAGCTTGCTTTTGATTACCCCGAGCTACACACTACTCTGCACTTTTACACTCTCCCTCTTGCTACAGTAGAGGTCTTCCTCGAGCAGTAGGCCGGCATGAGCCTGAGACTGCCAGGAGTGACCACTGCTGCCGTGGTCTTGGGCCCACCTGCCATGTATGGTCCCTTCCCGGCTTCTAGCTACCATAGCAAGCAAGCAATCTCTCTCATCTCTCTCACCCTCTCTAGCTCATCGCCGTACGTCCGTCCTGCTGCCCACCTCGGCGAATTTGACTTATCCCTGGCTGTGTTGCATGTGTTTTGCTTGCATTTGCCTCCCTCCTCCACCGTTTGCTTCTTCTCTTGGTTCCGGCCCGTACATCGGCGTCAGCAGCATGCTCCGGCGTACGCGAAGATCTGGTGCACCACCGTCGCCACCTCGTCCGCCGTCGCCATCTCGCATCCTTCCTCCATCTGCACTCAAACATGTCACACACCATTATACTCAGCTACTCCTACATAATAATAAACCCATCATATATATATACTCTCTTCATTTCTTTCTTTTTGTTTGATATACCGTCATATATTAGGAAACGGAGGTAAAATATTCACATTGCACAGTAAACTACTTGTTTGATTAGACAGTACGGAGGAGTACTGAAAAGCTGTTATACTATCTCTGAAATGCATGGTTCGGGATACGTAAGACTGGCTTGTGGTTGTATCCGTTTGTTCCGATCCTGTGTTTTCCCCATGGACAAGAGAGAAAAGGACACGTAAGAAAGCAGGAGCTTGTAATTAGTAATTGTCTGGAAATTAAGCACAGTCTGTCTGTACCCAAGTACTGGGATGCTCATCGTATTCGAACACTCCATCTGCATACTCCAAAAATCCTTTAACAGAAACGTACGAAAGCCACGGTCCTCATCTGTTGGAAATCCCACGCAACACTCTGCAACGAGCTGGGGACAATTAATCGATTCGCTTACCCATCACTTTCTCACTGGTGCGCCGAGCACGACATGCTACATTACACATCTCTCTACAAATACTACTATTACATAATCACTTCTTTCTACTAGTAGTATATATATATCCAAACTAAAAATCATTAAATGGTTCTCGCAAGAAAAATAGACGGCACTAGCAAAGTAATGGCACATATTTTGCATTCCTCATATTTTGATTCTGAGATCTATTTTGTTTATTTTATTGGTATGTGGTACTGTTTATATCCATGAGTTGTAACAATCCTAATTAGACGACACCGTTTGATTTACCTAGTTGGTTTAACCACTCCATCGCTTTTCTTGAGCTACCAAACTATTTAAATGGCGTATTTTTTTCAAATGCTTTCAACATAGAATTTTTTTAAAGAAAAATAAACAGTCATTTTTTCTGTTTACAATAGCTAATAAGCTATCTGGTTTAGCGTGTGGCCCACAGCCTAAATGCTCAATCGGATGCAAGTAAAAAAGAGCACATGCGTCTAGTAGGTTAAAAAATATATTTAAAAATAGCTCACCTTTTTTTCCCTCTTTGTACAAATGTATTTTAATTTGTTGGATATAACTGTTCTCAATCCTCTTTTTCTTAAAAAAAAAAAGAGAAAAACATCGATCACTATTTGCATAGGCAAGAAGGACAAAGACTGATTTCAAAGTTTATATTTAAGATTGCACGCAATCTATAATGAAAAAAATACTATAAAATATTTTCATTATACTTTATTGCCATCTACGTTTTTTTTTAAAAAAAATGTCTAATTGAAACGTGTTATAAGAGAAAACCATTAGAAACTAGAGTAATCTGCTTTAAATACTTCCTCCGTTTCTAGATTCATTAGCATCAATATGAATGTGGGATATGCTAAATGACTTACATGGTAAAACGGAGGGAGTAGCTTACAGGTGAATTAAGCTGAAAATTGCCTTTTAGTAATAGTGACCTTTCAATATTGAAATCAGCAACGAAATATTCCTTTTTCCTTGTGATGGAAACCGCAATCAAATATAGTTAGAAAATGGCTACCTTTTGTGGCAAATCAAATGTAGGTTTAAAAAAACGAGGGAACATGCAGTAAAAGGTGATGAAGAGTTGTCGTTGTTTTGACCTTGAGGTTGAAGCAGTAGACGACGGCGTCATGTCCGACGGAGGTGACGGCGAGGTGCAGCACGGTGAGGCGGAGGTCCTCCATGGCGGCGACGGCGCGCACGAGCCGCCCGGTCCACCGCCTGCCGGCAACGCGCACCCGCACGTGCCCCCCCACCGCGGCCGTCGCCTCCACGTCGACGCCGCTGCCGCCGCGCGCTTCGGAGTAGCTCGTGTACTGCGGGGACACGAACACGCCGTCCGACGCCGCGGTGGCCGCCGCCGCCACCACGCCGACGCCGCTCCGCTCCGCCGCCGCCGCCTGCAGCGCCACCAGCTGCTGCTCCAGCTGCTTCACGTAGTCGATCGCCCCGCCCACCACCGTCGCCTGGTCACCCTATATCCGCAATTGCATTGTAGTAATCGCTAAGAACTTGCGAGAGATTTTGATGTTTCTTTTTGCTTGAGAATTGAGATATTATTGCGGCGTCATGGCGGGAAGGAATTTACTCGAGGGATGTAGTTGGAGGGGATGAGCGATCGGAGGGAGGCGAGGTGGTCGTTCATGAGGCGGCGGCGGTTGCGCTCCACGGCGATGTGCGTCATCCGCTGGTTCTCGGCCTCCTCGGGCTTCTTGCGCTTCTCCGGCGGCGGCGCGGCGCGCGGGCGCGGCCTCGGCCTCTTCCTCCTCCGCTCCGCCCTGGTCGCCGGAGCCGTGACGGGGGGCGCCGCCGCCTGCGTGACGCAGCTCTCGAGCAGGTCGAGGTCGGCGACCGGTGGACAGGGGCAGCACGACGCGAAGGCGGCGGCGGCGGCGTGCCTCTTCCTCCCGTCGCCGCCGCCGCCGCCGTCTGCTTCCATGGCGCCGTGGAGCAGCGCGAGAAACGGCATCTGACCAGCGCCGGCGCTGGCGGCCGCCTGGTCCGCCGCCGCCGCCGCCGCCCACTGTTCCATTAGCACCCGCACCGCCGCGCCATCGCCATGAACCGGCAGAGTTGAGCACGTTAGCAAGAAACAGAAACAGCGGCAACGCCATAAAAGAGATGGATGCAAATGCAAGAAGAAGAAGACAGCACAATGCAAGCAGCTGCAGCAGGTTGCATGCGAGAATGCATTGAATGGTGCGTGCGAGCGCGGACAGGGCTAGATGTTGCAACCTAGCAGCTGCAAGAAGAAGAAGAAGAAGCAGCAGAATGCAATTAATACAGCCGAATTGCATCGCATCGCATTACATGTGCTGCAGTGCAGAGACTAGGAATGGAAGCTACATGGTTGCTCAATTACTACTAGCTACTAGTAGCAGCAGTGCAGTGGCCGTCCCCGTCCCCGGCCAGGGAAGCTTACCAGCGAGCCGATGGGCCCTTGCAGCTGCATCCTCTCCATTACAAGAGGAAGGTGGTGGTGGTAGTGGCAAGGTATACTACAGTGGTAGCAATAACTGCGCTGGCGAGTAATGAGCCCCTGGGGCAGCAGCTGCAACAGCAACCCCCTCGCTCCTCTCCTCTCCTCCTCCTGCTCCCAATTGAAGCAGACGACGAGCTGCTGCTGTCTATGTCAATTAATGTGTTGTTGTAGAGGTGAGGAGCTAGCAGAGAGGTTGAGGTAGAATGAGGGAGAGGAGACGATTGGATGGAGAAGAAATGGCTGTCTCTTGTAAGGTTTGGTAGGCCAGGTAACGAGGATGAAGATTTGAGCAAGTGAGAGTGAATTATTGAAGCCGTAGAGGAGGGTGGTGGCGCGCGCGCGGCAGATTTGCAGATTTGTCCGGCACGGCGACAGCGGCAGCCACCGTGGGGCCTGGACCTCCTCCTCCTCCCGGCCGCCTTGCGAGCTCGACTCCTTGCAACTGATTAGCGACGGTGTTAGCGAGCAAGTAGTAGAGTAACAGTGCTGTTGACACATGATTGATTATTCCCGTTTTATATATACCTGTTGACACATGATTGATTATTTAATTACTAATCCCGTATCATCACTGCTGTGTCAACCCTTTAGCAGTAGTCCGGGAACAGATAAGTAACAGTGCTGTCAGCGCATCTGCTGCATTAATTAAGGTCAGTTCAGTTACATTAATGTCTTTACCCGTACTGTTGATTATCTTAGGCTCTGTTTAGTTCTCACGCAAAAAATTTTCACCATATCACATCGAATATTTGAACATATGCGTCAAGTATTAAATATATAAAAATAATAATTACACAGATTGCGTGTAAATTGCGTGACGAATCGGGTCGGACACGGATAATGCCGAATACGGATATAAACTCGGATAATGTCGGGTAAAAATACGGAATGAATACGTACCAAAATAGATACGTACACTATCGATTACGAATATTTATTCGGATATCAAGTCGAAGGAACAATCTTATATATCACATAGACAATAACCATTTAACAATTCCATATATACATAATACGATTATATTAGGCATTAGGAACATAGGAAATAAATAGGGTACAATACATCATAGTAGAACCAATACATAATACTAAAAAGTGCCTCACAAAAACATAATATAGATAATATCTGTATATTTATCCGGGTAATATATACCCGATTTTTTTACCGGATAACCATATCCTTAGGATACTACATTTTCGAATCCGATCCCATATCTGCCATAAAATACCCGTATTCGGACCCAATATCCGTGAAATATCCCGGATCCCGAATTTGTCCCGAAATAATGTGGCTGGGCGCATTTTCACCCCTACCCGGCCCATGTAATTTTCTTGACGTATTGGACCATGAACGCTTTGCATACGTAATTTTGTGAGCTGTAGTACGGATATCTTTGGGAGATTTAGAACTACTATACCGATTAAGTTCATGTTAAGGAGGTGTATTCACAGTTGTGCACTGTAGTATACTGGCAGGTTCGATGTAATCATGTAATCAGAAACTAAAATATCATAAGAAATGTGCATGTGTATTGTGGCTGCATTATGCATGATGCATGGCGCCGATCGAATCGAAGTACCGTACAGTATGTAGATCGTAGCTAGGTGGTCGGTCCATGGACTGAACGGTCTCTACGCATGCATGTCAGCACATGGACGTGCATGCGTACCACGGACACACACACACACACAACTAACGATCCACATCGATCGGCTACCGGACCACATCCTGCATGCGGGGTTTCGTATTTTTCGTCGGAGGCATCCGATGGCCACTGCCCACCGCTGTCTTCTTCACACATTGTACCCGTATGCCGCGCCCGCCCGGTTATTGGACTCCATCCTCGTGCTAGCTACTGTGCAGATTTGCTCCCTCTATATATCATCGCAACCGAATATATATATAGGATTTGTTTTGTTCGTGAAAAGAAAATTTTTAGGTATCACATCGAATGTTTGACCGGATGTTAGAAGGGGTTTTTGGACACGAATGAAAAAACTAATTTCATACTCTCTCCGTCCCAAAATAAGTGCAATTTTACACTGTTTATGTTCAACTTTTGACCGTTCGTCTTATTTGAAATTTTTTATGATTAGTATTTTTATTGTTATTAGATGATAAAACATGAATAGTACATTATGTGTGACTAATTTTTTTTTCAAATTTTTCATAAATTTTTCAAATAAGACGAATGGTCAAACGTCGGACACGGTTCCCCACGACTGCACTTATTTTGGGACGGAGGTAGTAACTCGCATGGAAACCGCGAGACGAATTTATTAAGCCTAATTAAATCATCATTAGCACATGTAAGTTACTGTAGCACTTATGGCTAATCATGGGCTAATTAGGCTCAAAAGATTTGTCTCGTGATTTTCATACAAACTGTGCAATTAGTTTTTAATTTTATCTATATTGCTACATGCATGTATCCAAAATTTCGATGTGACGTTTTCTGGGAAAAAAAAACTAAGAAGGCTATAATACTGGACGTACACCATCATGCACCGTATCGGAATACACCTTCCCATATTGCATCGTTAATTTGGACAGTACGTGCATCCAAACCGTACACACGGTACAAGCCCTTGTCAGGATCGACGAGGGACGGCGTCAAAGGCGGATCCATGTAGCTTAGCTAAAAGATAGCACGCGATCGAAAGGGATGGAATTGAAGCACAAAACCGGCGAGACCAAAAGGCAGCACGCGATGCGCCACCATAGACACACAAATAAGCGCTATCATGGCAACCGGCCGGCGACATTGCCGGGGATGAAGTGATCTATAGTGGCGTAAGCATGGGGCATTCGATGATCGATCGTCTCGATGGTGGCCGCGGCCGTGAATGCGCGGGCGTAGCAGCAGGTCCCACCGTTTTCAGCGGAATCGATTGGGCGTGCGTGCAATGCAATCGTGCATACAAGAAATGCAAGAAACACATGATTTAAGCGGACGGTGTAGTACGGAGTGGTGGCATGCATGAGAGTGGAAAGCCCAAGACTTTTTGGTGGATACAACGAACGATCGAGCTGGGGCTGAGCTAGTCAGTTAGCCAGCGAGGAGAGGCGAGTACGTGTCGTCACGCTCCCGCAACTTGCCTCCAATCCTCCATGCATCATAGCTCGCCTCGTCTCTTGCAGTGTCAGTGTGGTGCTCATATCATCAAAGCTGCAAGTATGCATGTAGGCCTGGAGACGGGCGGATGCTAGCTGATTCCATGAAAGCTACGTACGTATCGACGACGATTGTACATACGAACAAATTGCGCTACGACAGATTTGGAGATAGTTGGTTAGCTACACTGTGCTTCGATCGATCACCATGAAAAAAAACATACAACTACTTTTTTTTTTGGGTAATATTAGTACAGTCTACAAATGCATTCTACCGGCACTCCCTCCGCCCTAAAATGAATGTATTTTTGAACTAAACAGATGCACTTATCTTGAGACAAAGTTAGGCTGTGTTTAGATCCAAGAGTGAAAGTTTTGGCATATCACATCAGATATACGGATACACATTTGAAGTATTAAACATAGACTAATAACAAAACAAATTATAGATTCCGCCTGTAAACTGCGAGATGAATTTATTAAGCCTAATTAATTCTTCATTAGCAAATGTTTACTGTAGCATCACATTGTCAAATCATGGAGCAATTAGATTTAAAGTATTCATCTCGCAATTTACACACAATCTGTGTAATTTTTTTTATCTATATTTAATACTCCATATATGTGTCTAAACGTTCAATATGACATGGCGGAAATTTTTTCCATGGAAACTAAACAAGTCCTTAGAAGTGTGAGGAAGGGGATTCAAATTTTTACCGTGAGCTTCAGATAGTACCTGGAGCGCGAGAAACCTGTGGTGCAGAACGGCAGAAGGCGCAGCAATGCCCATGCTGCTCTTGCCCCTCCACCAAACGATGCAGGTGATACGGGCGTGTTGCATTGCAAATTGCAATGCATGACACAGGAGACACGGTAACAGTAACAAGGCAGAGAACGCCGGAGGTGGTGGGTAGGGCCGGACAGGAGGGAGACGGGGACGCAGCCACGCCCACACAGATGGCGGTACAAGGGGGACGCCAAGGCAGCGAGCGATGTGATGCAATCTCTCCTCCTCGATTGGCGTCGTTGTGGACAGGACAAGATGTCTTGGCAGTGGGCTCAGCGAAGCGATTGCATTATTGGTGATTACGAGATGAGCCAAGTTTGGGCCGTTTCTGGAACTTCTTCGAGACAACCAAACCCTTTTCTCTCTCGCCAACTTTTAACCTTTTCCCCTTGTTTCCTTTACTCTCCCCCTACCTCAGCCTCTTGTCGTAACCTCTTTCCACCGCTGTCATTTCGGTGACTGCGATTAACTGCTGTGGTTTTTACCCGGTGTTTCTATTGCAATGCAGGTCTAGCTTTACCATTGGTCGCGTTCTGCCCGAGGTATGTGCATGTTTTCCAAACAAACTTTATCGGGATAGCTTCCCTACTTTCTTCTACGGACTCGGCACTTCGGTGGTACAAGGCCGCCCCCATTCGTTCCTTGGCCAACCTTAACCATCACATAAATGTAGGTACACAATCCTAATCATGTCGGTAATCATGTGACTTGTCTAGTTTGATCTTTGATGCAAGACTGGTTCAGCTAGTGCAACCAGCCAACGGGTACAGTCAGGGGCGTGCCTAGGTTATACTACCCGGTGTCACAGGACACCGGGTAGATTATTCAAATCCTATATAAATTACACTATATTAATTAATATATTAGTCAATAATTAGATAATTAGTATGTATTGGACCCCCGGTAACTTTTGTTCTGGGTTCGCCACTGGGTACAGTAGGAGTCTAAGGACCTTAGGTTCAGCTGACAAGTGCAGGTAATTAATCAAAGTGGAGTAGAGAAGGGCATGCAAAAAGAAAAAAAGACATACATACACGTAGAGACGACGACTGGACGAGCGTATTTTCGGGGTAGCATTTCCAATGAAGTGGCAGAGCGGCAGAGGCAACATGGGCCATGTGCCAGAAAGATCTGAACCGAGCCGCAGGGGAAGCAAGGGTAAAAGGGATTGCAGCCGCTGCTCCTGCACTGTGCCAGTTCGCCATGCTTCGACACGCACGGGAAAAGAGACATCGAAAGAAGTAGCCGCACAGCATAGTATACACCTGTACACAAAATCGTATTCGGACCCTCCTCTCTGCCTACTCGTACTATACCATTTTTGTTCCACAGTTTATTACTCATTTTATGTGTATCGAGCTAGTAGTACCAATGGAAAATTCTTTGACCTCAGGCTCAGCCAGGCAGACATGGAGTCAAAAAAGGCTGGGAGCGACAGAGTTGCAGGAGCTACTAGGCAAGAGGGTGGGCTGGCTTTGGATGCATCGGGCAGCAAAGCATGAGATGCAACGGCCGGGAAATTATTGTAGAGATTTGTTTCGGATCCCAGGATTTGATGACCCATGCAACCATGGACGGTACCAAAGGTACTGGCACCGGTTTTAATTGAGCTGGGGTATGCTTGCTCCGGTGAAATCTCCTGGCGCATGCAACCAGTACTAGCAAGCATCAGCTGAGTTCAATAATTTTTAACCAAATCCTGTGCCGGCAGGACCATGGGATAAACACAAGAGCTAAAAACAATTAACGCATGAAAGCCTCCAACTGCATACCTGCACAAACAAAAAAACCTGCCCCATTTTAACAGTAGGTGGTACCAATACCAGCCTTATCCATCCCTCCCACTTATTTTTTCGCGCCAAAAACACGACCGTGAACCGTCCTCCTTCTCTGAGCTCACCGTCAAAGATACATTGGCACTGACGGCGCTATGGCCGCTCCATTGCAGCAACTGAGCCACAAGCACTGCCACAGTGAGGATTTCTGTGGACTGACAGGGCGCTATGGCCGCTCCATTGCAGCAACTGAGCCACAAGCACTGCCACAGTGAGGATTTCTGTGGACGTTTTTACGGTTTCTCTTCTATTGGAGCCATCGTTTCGCTTATTAGCGGAATAAACAAAACGACATATTTGTAAACAAAAAGTAATTTAGGAATAAAACATTTATATATGTGTTCTTAGCGATCTAAAACCAAAGGCTGAAAAATAAACTTCAATAAAAAAGACTCAAAATCAGCTTCAAATTTAAGGTTAAAAATTCAAATTTTGGCTGATAAACATAAACATAAGCGAAAAGATGAGGCCCTTGAGTATCCAGATATCAAAGTCGTCTAGCATTTCTGATACAATGAACCGTAGTGCAAAACCAGGTGGAGACTTCATGCAAATGTGATATCGTCCTAGACTTCATTTCCTAGGCTCCCAGCCTCCCACAATATATTTTTGGTAGCATACGTTCCGACTGTCCAACTCATGTACGACTGAATTTGATCAACCGACGGTAAACGGCTGCAGTGCATATGGACATGCTCTTGTTTAATTGATATATAGTTGCACGTCTCTAATTGTACATGAGTTATACAACTGGGTCGTACATATAATGGAACTCATATTTTTTTGTAGCTGCAGTATTCCATCTACTAAGGACATGGCTAGAGAGAAGGTCAGCAGCACATAATTTGCCTAAATGCCCAATCCAGTTTGGAAAAGTTCTACACAAAAGAACTCAGTTGTAGGTATTTGAGCATAATTCTTGTGTGCAAGATAAGAGTAGTATAAGGTTCTCATTATCTATCCACGACTGCACCAGAATTTGCACGTCAAAGTGAAGAGCGGTTTAGTGAGGGGGCACAGGACTACAGCAGTGACTGCTCTTGTGTCACAGCAATACCATGATATTAAATGATGGTTCAGTGGTTTCAGAAGAGGGATTATTTTGTTAGTACCTGATATTCCGGCATCCACTGTACATGGAGATTTCGGGTCTCATCTGTCACAGGCCTCAGATGAGTAAGGGCCTCCATATTCCATTGTTCAATCCACTGTCTTATTGCAGACTGGTCTCATCTGTCACAACGGACAAGTGATGAGTGGTAAAAAGTTTACAAACTACAAGTTAGCGGCCACAAGTTTAGATCTTCTAACACATCTTTGAAAAATATGGAACAGATTAGAATCTTTGCTAAGCTGAGAAAGATGGATATTCCAAGGCAATAGTTGTTTGACTGTACAGTTACTGTAGCATTACAAGATATCAAATTCTGATTAGGAGCCACATTGTTAAATTTCATAATAGATCAAATATGATTCGTTCAAAAAAAAATAATAATACTAGATCCAATATGGACGTTTACCTTGCAATGTCAATGGCCAACTGATGCCATGCGCCCATGCATACCTGTGAAGAATTGGAGTTTGACAAATTTAGAAAAGTATATTTTTCTGTACTGCAACCAAGGTACCATTTAAATAAAGCATATCCTTACATATAGTAAGGCCTCTTATATCATAAACCAGTTAGCCGTTTGATATGTTATGCAAAGTTTGCAAGGTTTTGGGAAAAAAATGATGTGACAAACACGCGTTCTTAATTTGCTACCAGCCCACAAGCTACTGTCGGGTACTCAGTAAGGATATAGTGGGAATGAGCTGCCCTGGTTCTTGCGTTCGTAAGAAGTATGGTGATTTCAGAACACTAGGGCAGCTCATTCCCACTTACTACAAACGAAACTGATGGGATCAACTATATGATTTAAACCTTCAGTAATTTAGATATTACTCAACAATATCCAGAAGAATGCAGACCCTTAAGTGGAGGAATTCAGCCAAAAAAGAATTCTTCCCCCATAAGCATATACTCCCTTCGTCCCAATTCCCAAAATATAATAACTTTTAGCTTTCAAAATTTGTCCCAAAATATAACAACTTCTCCACCAACATTCTCTTCCCAACCAATCACAACTCTCCACCATTCAATTTTTCCACCTACCTCCACTTCTCATTCAATCACAATCATTCCACCTATTTAATTCTACATACTTTTTTAATAACAGTGTCCAACTCTAAAAATCCTTATATTTTGGGAATGAGGGAGTATATTAGAAATACTCCAACCTTACATGGAGAATATGTGCACAAATGAAATGCTATATAGTGGAAGCATTAGTCGGAAATGATTTGATCAAATTTTCTTCAGTAAATCTGAGTTATTTTATAGTGAGGTTTTTTTTTTAATACTGAAAGCTAGTATTATGACATCAGGTGGAACCATCACTTTTGTCATAGTTGTATCTCTTTCTATCATAACTCACGAGAATTCTTGGAAAAGGACAAGAGTTTTATGACCGCATACCTTCAGATGTAGCGATGGAAATGCAATCCATTTCATCTTGTCTGGGATATGGACATATGGTTGGCAAAAAAAGCATCAGACCTACTTGTACGAAGTTAGAAAGATGAAGCTGCAACCAATTGTGAGAAGCAGAAGCAGAAGCAGGAAATTTACCTAGAAAAAACTGAAACTATAATCCATGTCTCAGCAATATATTGTAAAATGGTAAAGATAATATTACCTGCTATTCTTGTACATGTCAGCTTCCATACACCAAACACCATAGCTCAAAATAATGCTCACTTCAGAATTTGGACAGTCCATAATAAGTAGGCAAAGCAGTTTTAAGACTTGGAAAAATAAAAAACTATTTGCTCTTTTTACATGCTACTTATATACAGAGCCAAGAGGTCATTTCAGTTCTATGGCAAATAACTGTACAACTTAGAAGTGTTATTATATATTATATACAAAAAGAACACATGGACTATGATCATGCAAACAAAACATTACAAAAGTTCCCCCAAGTAAGCATCTCCTAGACAAAAAAAAGTTGGAGGCAAAGACTAATACTCGTGGGGAACAAAACAAAGCTTGCTTGAAGTTTACCACGGAATCAATTTAACTTTCACTTCTTTGTGCACCAATATTTCCCATGTAAAAGTTAGTTCTGGACATATCTCTCCTGTTGTCCGGTCAGCTGGGCACTGCATAGATGGCTCCTCAAATTAGCTATGTACCTATGGATACGTTGCTGATCAGATGATGAAAGGGAAAACGGCGGATTCAGTGGCAAATTAGTTGCTTCTTGCAATACAAATGTGAGCAAGATGATTGCTTTTGAGTATAGCGCCACCGATCTATTTTGGTATCCCAAAACTTCCTTTGCCTGAAAAGGTATACACAAACGAATTATAAACATCAGCTCTAAGTGAAGAAACATGTTGGAGAACTTTTAGAAGTAGGGTTTATGAAAGATGGTAAGAGTTCCCCAGCTAGGGAATGACGGGGGCTATTTTTTGAAGGATTCACAGAGGGCTAAGGCCTAAGGCCAGCCCATATGAATATATTACTATCATCAAAATGTTACAAACTGTTTACAAGGGCAGGATTAAGTATTGGCCAGAAAATAAAACAGATGGAGGAAAAAGAGTAGCAAGGGTCTTGAACTCATGATTGGAGTGCTTTCATAAAAGTTTTTTCCCCATGAATACCGCTTTCCCCCATGAATAGCGCTTTAATAGAAGTAGAGAGCAGAGACTGGCTGGCTATAAACATTTTTGCTCATTTGTAAAAGAAAGTTGTTTTTCTTTCCCACTGCAGTCTAAGGCTGCGTTTGTTCACATGAGAAAGGGGAGATTGTATCTCGTTTTTCGCGCGCACGCTTTTCAAACTACTAAACGGTGTATTTTTTGCAAAAATTTTCTATAGAAAAGTTGCTTTAAAAAATCATATTAGTCCATTTTTGAAGTTTAAAATAGTTAATACTCAATTAATCATGTGCTAATGGCTCACCTCGTTTTGCGTATCTTCCCAATCTTCTCAATTCCCTCTCCCTCAAACACAGCCTAAAACAATAGTATTCATTTCTGCCCCTTGTTCGTGGTCTAACAGAATATGGAGTGATAATAACTAACCAACCGCCTGGACAACCAGTGCACAGCGGTGGATCCTGGGCTGGTACACATTAACTACAAGTCTACAGGTTTCCTTTCCGTTGTAGCATCATTGCTTGTTACCCAAAATCGTGAAATGCATACACCACTCCCCCACTTTCCCCCCAAATCCATGAAGTGCAAGGAAAAACGAAAGCTGTAAAGAAACCATACAAGAACCTAGAATACTGATACTTACAGCACCAGTTGTTCCATATATTAAAGCTGTCTGGAATATGATCTCCACTGCATCTGGCATCTCGGTGTTATCTGGAAACAAACAAGGGTTATAGCAAAAAACAAAAACAAAACTATACTAGGACATGAAGATACCAATGTTCTAACCATTGTTGTCCCGCAACCTATGTGATATCTTCTCTGCACGGTCATATGCCTTGATAAAGCCACTTTCAGCCCAGGAACAGACAGAAACGAGCCTGGTGAAATCCAATCCTTGTACTACATTTCGAGATGGACGATGGTCATTCTTAGGCAGGAAATTGACATGAGCTTGGGTCAAAAAAAATCCATCATGTGTAGCATCCGTGGATAAACTACATGCATTAAGGGCCTCGTTCCAAATAGCTAATATTATAAGTTCAACAGATAGTGCCTCCAAGTCCAGCCCTTTAAAAAGCTGCATCCACACAGAAATGCCAATATGAAAAACAACAAAACATAATTCTTAGATCAAACTGGACTAATAGGTTCTCAATTCTCAAAATATCATAGCTATGCTATGAGCATCAATACAAAAGGAGAATTTTGTCTGGCATCGACATTCTGAAGAGAAGTGCACAAAAGATTCATCTATTTGATGCTATACAATATATATATGGACAAAGCTTTATGTTAAAAAAAACTGAGAAGAAGAGATATGCCAGAAATATCATGACTTGGAGACTAAGAGTATTGCTTAATGTGTTGATACACGGGTATATCAATGAAAAATGGCATGTGGAAGGCTGTGACCTCTACATCTGATGAAAATCATTTAAACCTAGACATCACCTGCATGATTTAAATTACTAGGGATAACTCTACAAACATTCATCTGGTCAAAGAACTCAACAAGCATTCTAGCAAGGAACATAGTAAGTATATGAGCAGATGAAGCTTAGCAACAAAAAACCACTGTTTCATCATAACAAACATAAGGAGCTACAGACTGCACACAACTACAAAACACAGATGGCATTCAATGGACATAGTGTTATATCCCAGTAAAAGCAGTAGTAATACCTTCTCCTCTGCAAGTTCTGTAAGAACAACAATATACTGGTTAAGGAGTTGAAGCCTTGTGTAACAATAAGGTGGATTTAGCAGATTTTCTGCAGCTGTTGATTCATGGGAAGTAGACAATGGGGTGCATCCATTGCTTTTTATAGCAACCCCTCTACTGACTGAATTTCTGTTTTGGTTCCAAGCAGACCGTTTAACAGTGGACCTATCATAGCTGGCAGGTTTTGCACCTGTACCATCCTTCATTGACTTTTCAAGTGAAGACAAAATTTCCGTGGAAGTAGAGTTCGCCTGAACAAGTACATATTCTCGTTCAATCCATTCCCATGAATCAAATGCTGCAAAAATATACAGAGTTAATGCCAGAGCAGGGACGTATGAAATCTGAATACTAGTTGGGAGTCTAATTTACCTTGCAAATTTCTAGAATCCACGCTTTCAGACTTATCTTTCAGGACATCCGAAGAAATGATCTGGCATGTATCCCTTAATAAATCAGCAGGATGATTGGGCTCACTGCTAATCTCTCTTTTCCTGGAAAAAGAATCAGAAAACTTCAACACAGGAGACAAATATGACACAATCAAACCCATGTCCACATTATTATGGCAACTATTCCACAAATACATGGAGAGTATGGGAAAAGACTGCAAGTATGCTGTATATTGAGTAATTCACCATTCATGAGAACTTGAGAAATGTACAATGTACCATTCCAAATATCATATGTTCAATTCATCTTGAAATTTTAGAGGTTTATATTATGTTGAAGGCAATGCATGTATGTCTCTTTATGTACATTTTTTGGGCTGCCTACAAGTGAGGATGAATGCCGTATTGGCAGCAGCAGAGTAGTATTTGGTTAAGTTAAATTGAAGATTAGGTATGGACATGGATTATGATAACAATGCACATTTTGCAACATAGCCAGATAGACCTTTGAATGCTTCCACCAGAGTAAAGGGTCGACCCAGTTGTTGACAAAAACTTGTGATTGAAGAATTCCTCAAAAGAAATTCTCTTCTCTGCAAAATAGAAATTGTGTTTTAATATGATTCACCAATTAGTAATTAGTAAGGAATAATAAGATCAAGACCAATGATTAACGAAATTACACAGATGACAGTTGAAACTTGAAAGAAATTGTTCCTTCCATTAATTTTTATAAGGCATATTTTTATTTTAAAAAAATCAAACTGTGTTCGTTTTGACAAACAGTTAGTCCAATTACAAGTGTAGGCTCCATTTGAGAATTGAGATAGATTATTGACCGCAGATTATATACTTCATTATAAGGATAAATTAAACATTTTGAGAAATAAACTTAACAAATACTACGTAGCTTAGAACAAGTGGTCTAAGCAATGCAGTACAAGAATAATACCAATAAATTCATATCCCAGAGTTGCTTCCGCATTATCTTAATTTCATAAGCTATGGAAAAAAATACTTATATTTATGAGAAATTGATTGTCAAAGTTTAATGTTGAAGACTTTTTTAATTCAGAGTGAATATGCCTAAAAAATCTACTACAGTGCATAACTATTCAAGTTTATTTTTTTTGAATAAGACGAGTGGTCAAACAGTGCAAACAAAAACTCAAAATCCCTTATATTATGGGACGGAGGGAGTAGTTAATACACACTGCTTTGCACAAACAAAAATGAAGAGAAATACAAACTTACTTGGATCAAGACGTAGGAGCCCTCGGCACAGGTCAATGAAATCAGGATGTAAATCATCCTTGATTTCTTTAGGGAACTTAACGCCGTTAGATTCATGGATGTTTTGCCTCAGCTATATTCAAAGAACAACAATCAAGAACAATATTACAGGATATATGTATTTTTATGGTCCACATACATCTAATTATGCATAAGAGCAAACCTTGAATAGATTAGCCCCATAAAAAGGCAATTTCCCTGTGACTAGCTGAAAAAGAATAACACCAACACTCCACAAGTCTGCCTGAAAGAACATATGGTTGGGATTATTGTCTAGCTATATTAAAACACCCAAAAGCATAGGTGAATGAACAAACCTTTGCATCGTAATCCTCACATCGCATAATTTCTGGCGCCATATAGGATGGAGATCCACACATTGTAGCAGCTAAATTTTCTTGCACAAGAGACCTGGGAACAATTCCAAAATATCATTCACACATTGTTTACTAACAAAAAGTTCATAGTAACCTTCGGAAAAAGGGAAGAAACTGTAGAAATTGGAAAATGGGTAACAGCTGTAGATATTTGGGGATTGGCCCCCGGTAATTCAAGTAAAGGAGAAAAAATATATAAGCCTACAAATATATATACAACAGAAGGGAAATAGAGCCCACACCTAGCAAACCCAAAATCTCCAATTTTCAGTGTGATGGCATCACCATTAGTTGATAGCAGAAGATTCTGCAAGTTTCACATATTGGTCGGTATGGGTAAAAATATATTATCTCAAAGGATAAAACAAATCAATAGCCAAAAATAAACACATGGACACTATTACAATGTACACCTTTTTGGGTTTTTTTTCCTCAAACATATATTGAGTTACTGAGTGGATAATAGCATGAACGTATAGAGAAATCGTACATGCAACTTTTTGACATTTGGTGGTGAACTAATAATGACTGGGGTCAGCCCAATCAAGTCAATATTAGTTGTTAGGTATTGATCACTTTAGATGCTAAATATGGAGCCCATTTGCACAACAGTACAAGAAATTACAAAACGTCTTAACTTCAGACATAATCATTACAGTTAGTTTGCATATGGTATCCAAACAAAACATCTAAAAATTGCAAACCGACTCAAACAGCAAAAATTTAATAGCTCCGCATGTAAGATCTAACCTGAGGCTTGAGGTCGCGGTGCACGATTGATCTTCCCCTCAGCATCTTGAGCCCTTCCGCTACAAATAAAAAAGAGGGGCAAAAGACGCATAACTACACCGTTCCAAAAACCTAGAAAATGTAACTAAGACAACAACTAAAGGACAAGGAACTCCATTCAAATCTCGATTGAGGCCATACCGAGCTGCCGCATGAAGTCCCTCGCGGTGGCGTCCGGCAACCGGGCGTCCTCGCCGCCCTTCGTCCTGTACCCCTCGAGGTCGCCTCCATTGCAGTACTCCAGAATCAGGTACAGATTCTCCTCCTTTGAAAACCACAAGTCATTTTACTAATTTCACATCGTTAACCTTACTACTCGCTCGGAGTTCAGTTGCGATTGCGATGGCGGTTGGGTGCCTGGGTTGGAAGGTTTAGGGGTTACTACCTGGATGGTGTCGATGAGGCGAAGGATGTTGGGGTGGGAAAGGGTGGAGAGGATGGCCTTCTCCTCGAGGATTCCGCCGCGGACGCGCTCGTCGATCCTCCTGGGGTCGATCTCCTTCACCGCCACGACATCGCCGGTGCGGAGGTGCGTCGCGAGGTACACCTTCGCGAACGAGCCCACCCCAATCTCCTCCAGCAGCTTGTACTCCCCGACCACCCGCGGCGGATCCACCATCCTCTTCTCCGCCGCCGCCCCCGCCGACCTCGCCGGCGCCGCAGCCATCGTCATGGTGGTCGGCGAGGCGTGTAGCGGAAGCCGAGAAACAGTTTGGATTAGGGGGGCCCCCGGTGGTGGGTTGGGGATATTTGTGGCGGTGAATTCGTCTCCGAGTTTATCTACCACCGAGCCCACACGTCAGTCACTCGAAACGGAATACGTTTCGAATATCCCCCGGTCAAAGGGAGATACGCTTGTACGACACTGACACGATGGGCCCACTCTCCGTGGAGCCCCTAGTGTCAGTGAGACTATGGGCTGTATCTTCTCCCTTTTTATACGGCACAAGTACGTTTCAGGTTATATGGGCCGGGCCCGCAATGGGGTCGTTTATAGGTGGGGTTTGGATACAGGGATTAAGCCATGTCAAATCGAATGTTGAACTAGTATAAAGTATTAAACTTAGACTATTTACAAAACTAGTTACATATAAATGATAGGTAATTCGCGAGACAAATTTTTTAAGTCTAATTAATCTATTATTAGAGAATGCTTACTGTAGTATTATGTAGGCTAATCATGAATTAATTAGGCTCAATATATTCATCTCGTGAATTAGTCAAGAGTTTTAAAATGGGTTTTATCATTAGTCTACGTTTAATAATTCTAATTAGTCTACGTTTAATAATTCTAATTAGTATAAACATACTATGTGACAGTGCCTAAGAACTTCCCCATCCAACTATTGCGAATTCTTCTGCGGATGTGTTTCGTGTGGTAGAAGGTGTTGTTCCCGGGAAAGGAACCACTACTGCCGCGTTGACGCGACAGGTGTCGTGTGGGATGCTGCTACCGCGGGGAATCGGGCTCGCGCGCACGTGGTCCAACAGAGGCCGTCCGTGGAGAAAAAAGGCCTTGCACTTTGCTTGGGCTGTGAGAAAAGGTGGGCTTTTCGAGTGGGCCAGGTTTATCTTTTTTGTCGTTGACTACTGGGCCGCCGAATTTTCTCATCTTTCTGCAGCCAGGACGTTCGCGGTATCAGGTTCTCAGTATCAGCTCGCGATGAACCTTTGTTGGTGCTAACGACCTGTTCACTCTGATACTAACGACCTGTTCACTCTGATGTTAAAAAAAAACCTTACTAAATTTTGGCATTGCTAAAATTTTGGTATAGTTATCAAAATTTTGACAGAATTTCTTATATAGTTACTAAAATTTGGCAGCAAACTAAATGCAGCCATTTTTTATCAATTTTATTAAAATTTGGTAAGGTTGAAAATGGCATCAAAATGATCAAGCTCTAACATTGACTACGATTGTGCTGGATCAGATGTTCCCTGCACTGGATGCTCATTGTTCCTTTGTCTCCTCCACTTGTCGATCGATGTTCTCGCGGACTATGCGATCGGTGTAGCTCGGTGCTCCTCGTTTTCTACAAGTGAGGGATGTCGTGGAGTTGGGTTTTTCATTCAAAAACATTTTCAGATGGATTGAAGCTGTTGTAGTGACTAATGTCGATCTATGCTGAACCAATCATTGCATTAACTAAACACTGTTCCTGGCATATTCGCTATGTTGGACGCCTGTACCTAATGTCATGCTAAATTATTGAAACGAGTTCCATTTAGTTGCTTCACACTGCCGCATACTTCATTCACACTAAAGTAAATATATATAGTATATATTATGATAATTTCTAGTACTATGAAACTGGATGAAATTTTTTTTTTTACATAACTGAGTATGCTTGTGGTTGTTGGAAAAAACCAATGGAGTTGTCGGACACATATGAATGGCGCATAATATTTGCGAAAAGCAAATCTTCTGACTGTTGGAAAACATGAATAGAGTTGTCAGACAAACATGAATGCTCAAAAAGTTGAAGAAAGGCTTTTCTTTTGGCTTGAGAGCAAGCCTAATAATACAGCTGACCTGTTGACTATAAGGTTTTTTTAGTCTTCTTTTAGCCTACCCATATACTCCCTCCGTCCTAAAATATAAGTATTTTTAGCTATGAATCTGGATAACTGTGTTCAGATTCATAACTAAAAATTGCTATATTTTGGGGCGGAGGTAGTAATAGTTTGCTCTTTACAATTTAATACAGGGCCCACCTGTTTCTCTCACATAGTTTCTTGATTCTTGTGCTCAAGCCGGCTGTAAGTTTACAGCCCGCTTCTCCTCTCTCTCAACCTCAGTATTTAGCTGGCTAGCTTACTACTATACGATCAAGTTTAATAGTATAGCCCACTACTAACTTCAAATCATCTATAGTCAATGTAATAGTCAATTCATACAATAGTTATTTACTATACTATTAATACTTGGTCACATCTATCATACACATATTACGTCTTGAAGTCCGTGCTACAGCTGGCTATAGATCTGTAGCCCGCTACTCTTATCTATATTCTTTTATCTCTTTAAAATATGTTTATACTGGTTTATAATATGCCTGCTCTACTTGCTCTGAATGGTCGATTGGAAATGTCAAGAGCAATGTCCTGTGTTAGGCACACGACACTGGATCCGAGCTGGTAACGCCTTAAAGGCAGAGCAACAATCATACAGGATTCCCGGGCAGAGGATCCCCTGTCGGGGCGCCCATAAATATCTCTATCAGTACTCACACACACACACACTATTGCTCACTTGAGCCACTTTTGTCAGAGGAGAAGGTCGAGGAGCAAGGCTAGCCATCACTCCACTGTACTGCGAGCCGCTGACGAACGTCGTAAATTTGGGGGGTGGAAAGGCAGAGATTCTTCTCCAGGAGAAGTGACAGCTTTTCTCGCCCATTTTGGGGCTCACTGTCCTTGTCCCGTGTGCTCGTCCATCGTGTAGTATTCGTGTAGCATATCTGCTTCAGGGGATGGATTTTGTTCGATTTTCTGAAAGGAGCGTATTGTCAAAACGAACTTGGACGTGTTTTCTCTTCCTTTTCACCAGAGGTCAATAGGAATCGGCTAGGTTCAAGTGTGTGTCGGAGAACGATGCTGCTTTTTCAGGATTAATGCCTTTTCGTCCTCTCTAGTGGACTCGCCGGAGCGGTGGATCAGGGGTAGGGGTAAAATGGACGGGTTCAGACGAATCACGGCGTTTCATATACTAACCCATATTGAAAATGTTTCACCAAGTAAATTGAGAAGGTTTCAATCTTTTAAAAAATCGAAACACAACCAAATCATCTCATAAAACATTTTGCTATAACGTATTAAACAACAGTTCTGAATATATTAAAACATGAATGATTTAGTTATCAAAAATCATTCGACAACCATTTAGCCTTCCCGAAAAATTAAAATGTTTTTGTCGGTATTTTGGTACGTTATCCGTATTTGGGCATTTTTTAAGTTCGTTCACTTTTGAAAATAGAGATCCATGTTTGAGTCCGATTTTAAGTTCGTTTGCTTTTAGAAATACAAAAGAAGTCATATAAGAAATCTCTATAAAAAAGCTTGCATGTTAACTTGAGATGAAAGTCCAACTCCTAATTGCAGTTCATGATTTTCTAAAAAAAAATATGCAAAAGAATTCTCGCGTTAAATTTCATCCTAGCTAAACAGTATAATAATAATAAGATTAAAATAGTATTCACCCATTGCAACGCACGGATATTTTTTCTATTTTTTTAAAAAACTGAAACTGGATACCGGGTAATATATTATCTATATGTATCCTAATCCATGTTATTTCCTTTGAATCGGACTTAGGAATGCATATTTATTTGTGTCTCTAATTCATAGATATAAAATATAAGGATGCAATTAAAGTGCTAAAAGAGATACAACAAGGGGGAAAAATATAGAATATTACATGTGAGCTTGTAAAATAGTGATTAATCAATATTTCTACTTTGTAGGTGGACTTATAATAGATTTTCATATATATTTCGTATTATATAGGACATACAAGCAGCTACAACTCTTCCCGTAACCAACCCTTTTTTTTTGTACGGATTCGGATTCGAACTGGCATCCCATTTTCTCCCCCATATTCTTTCTGCGGTTCTTGGTCGGGCAGGCAGTTGGGAAATACTCGCTCCGTTTTCACCTCTAATTAGGAGGAGCAGCAATCACACTGGCCGATCATAAGCTACTGTCGTGGCCAATCATTTTCTCAAGGCAAAAAAAAAAGGTCCCAAAATATAATCGGACAAAACCTCTCTTTACTTCCTTGAACTTATACAGAAGTCTACAATACTCTCTCTAGGGTGTGCTGGATAGAAGAGAAATGTAAATTTTTTTTGAAAAGATATGTAAAACGAGATAAACTATTAGTGCAAATATTAATTATTTCAAACTTAGAAGTAGATTATTACAATTTTCAAGAAACTATTAGACATATTTTTTTAAAAAAAACATATTTTAGCAAATTGGGAAGCATGCACGGAAAACAGTGGACTTTTCCTATCTTTTAGCATCCTTAAATTCTAAAACTGGACATCAACCGTCCTAAGCTTTACAAACCATTCACATTTCATCCTTTGGCCAATTTAAAATAGTTTTGTATGACATGTCCTTATGATTTAAGGTTGAAAAGACTTTTGAAATTTTAAAACTAGTACATGAAAAAAATGTTTAATATATCATTTTTAGTAGGTTGTGTAAGGTAGTTCCATAATATGGTTAAAATCACCTTTTATGCTTGCAATAATATTTATTTTGGAATAAGCATGATTTATTTGGGTTTAATATACCCAAATGCTGATTTTTTAAAATATTTTTAGGTAAATTATTAATTTTTAAAATCAAATGTAATTTCATCCATGGGTTATGCATTTGAATTTTAGAAAATAGAAAGTTGAAATATGAAATTTTCGCAAATAATACTATCGACGATTGGATAACTTATATAACCTTCAATAATTTTGGTTTATTCAAGTTGGTCTTTTTCTCAAAAGAAAAGGTGAAAGAAAACAACTAAAAAGAGGATAAAATGTACAAATGAAACACATGATTTTTTCTTTACTGAGAAACACAACATAAATGTAGACTCTCACAACGCATGCGCACTCACCCATATGAACATACATGCACACGCCATACCCCTATGAGCACCTCTGGAAGAGTGGACCATTATATCTTGAGATTGACGAGGTCACCATGATTATTTCGCGGTCGATGGATACATCACT